AGGACTTCCAAATAAATTTTCAAAGACAGTTCAACCAATAAATAAGATTCTTATGAAATATTTGTTGAATAAACCCACAGAAGAAAATTTCTAAATTTTTAAATTGACTTCTTTATTATGTAGCTTTACTTACTATATCCAAATTACTGACACAAGCTACTCCTAAAAATAGAGATTAAATTACCTTACGGTTTTCAGGGAAGTCAAAATGTCATAGTCCAGGTTCTGGGTCAGGCCCCATGGTGGGTGATGGGAATGCACATAGAATAAGGGTCATATCTCCAGCCAGGAAGCAGAGAGTTGGATGGGAAAAGGCTTGCTTCTTTATAAGGACTCCATCGCATGAAATATAGAGGTTGTATGAGAACTACATGATCTAAGGACTATTACTATAGGACTATTACTAGGTCCCACCTCTCAAATATTCCACAAAACCTCCCTATACTGCTACTCTTGAGACCAAGCACTAATCAAATGAATTCCGGAGGGAACAAAATTAAACCATATCTAAACCATAGCATTATCCATTGGGACCCAAGATTTATGTCCATCTCAGCTACCAATTCAAATAACAGTTTTAACAAATGATATTTAACTATTATGAGTTATATCAAAAAAAGAAGGGAAGTTATGTGAGATCATACATTAAATTATGAATGTCTACACTACATGAAAATTTTAAAATGACAATTTCATGAATTAAGCGATTGGAAGAATATTTTATCTACTGAACACTCACATTTTTAAGAGATGTCAGTAAACTTCTTTATACTGACAAATTAAAAAAAGAAATATGTTTACTAATAAGATCTAATAATAAGAAAAATAAGAATGGGTAGATGTAGTAAATAGAGAATAGGATGTGGTGAGAATAGTATGTTCATCCCTTTGCTCTGTTGTTTGGAATGAACATATCGAAATTAATACATTGTTAACGATATAAAGAAATAAAAATATGGGACCAAGGCATGATGAGTCTTCAATAACCCAAAGATATATTTGTTATTTAGTAATAAAACTCAGTATGAAATCTCACATTGCTTATATTCTTACCTAGGATCCTATTTGGTAAGGCACACAGAAGAGCAACTACTTACAGTAGGTGGAGTGAAAGGGATAGAAGAAGGAGGCCAATATGTTAGTGGAAATGGTGCAGATGCTCAGATGCATCCACATTAAAATGAAGCCCCAGATGACTATGTTCTCCAATTTGCTCTCAATCCTGGAACAGGAAATCCCAGGGGTCATTCAGAATCTTAACAGCTGAAATTGGTCCCTGGCTTTATATACTGCTTCCATAAGCATCTCTCCATTTGGAGAACAAAGAATTATTCTTTGGTGTCACTTCATCTGAGAAAAACTCTCTCTTGTCAACACAGCTCAGCTCTCCACCTCTGGAGAGGAGAATGGCAGGAAGGTAAGAAGACTTAGAATTCCTGTTATATAGGGGGCTTGCTCTAGGTTAACTGTAGAGTTCTACCTGGAGAGGGTCATGGTGCTTCTTTCTGGGAAAGACAGGAGATAGAATAATTCTTCTGAAGACTGAGTGCTCCTACTTTGAGTCTAAAATGTGGTTAATGAGATATTTTCCCATTATGATTTATCTCCCATTATCCCCCTTTCCCACCATTTAAACCTGCTCTCATAGATAGTTTTCTGCCTTTTCCTAAAACTTATTGAAAAAGTTAAGCCACAGGGAGATATTGCTTACTTGAAATATAAGGCTTTATAATATGTTTCATTGCTTTCACTTATTAATCAAAAATAATATCCCCTTGTACTTCTAAGATTCTAATAAGAAACAGGTGGCTCAAATTGTAATAATTGAGGAATACTCCAGGAAGGACTAGTTACAAAGACGTGCAGAATTAAGGGAACAACAGCAATGCATGGTGAGGTGCCCTAAGGAAAGCAGAAATGAAGCACTGTTTCCACACCTAAAGTAAAAGGGACACAGGAAGGAGCAGCTACCAGGGATGGAGCATAGCCATAGCTGAAGCTGTACTACTAAAGGATGACCAGGCAGGTGCAGAAGCAGTGCCATTACCAGCACACTGCCTGGCTGGAGAGAGTTAGATCTCAAACTGTAATCCCTCCCTCCCATTCTCTATTGTCTGGATTGTATCACCAGGTAGATCAGTTCAACCAGAAACAATAAGAAAAGGATGCTATTGATGGTGTTTGAAGAAGCCACTAGCTTGGAACTCTATCAAGACAGAGATGAAGGATGGAATAAAACCTGTCTGGACACATAAAACTATCCCTCACCACTCCTTGTATCTTCCTACAATATGGAGAATTCTATATCTAATATGATTGAATTCATCTCATTTTATCTCCATTGAAATAATTTTTCCTATTTACATGTTATTTCTCTTGAATCAATTTCATGGAACAATCACCGATATTAATCAAAACTGCCTTGAAATTTGAATGCCATTTTAAAATGGAAAAGCTTCTTTCTTGTTTAGAGTGAAAGTGTGGCTCAAAATGAACCACAACTCAACTTAACAAGATATGTGCTAGACCTGTGCTGTAATCTCCAGAGCATCAGACTCAAGAAATTCTTTGATAGTGCTGCTATCCAACCCTGGGAGGGTCCCATCATCTGTGGTCCTAAAGGAATTACACCCATATCAGAATGGAAGCCTGTGAGAAAATAAAGAAGGAAATGCAGGCTGTGCTCCTTCTATTAACCCTATAAACCAGAAGTTGATTACATCACTCTCCTCACTGCCTTTGGTCAGGGCCTAGTCATGTGGTGATATCAGCATTAAAAGAGGAAGGTAAATGGAATACTGAGACCTACAGCCCAGAGAATCACTGTTACAGAAGAGAAAAATTGTACTGTGCGACTGTAGAAGTTGTGACAGGTTCTGGTGGTGTCTCAGGTTCTGTGGTCTATGAAGATTAAGGCAACACGAGGCATAAACGGGTAGTAAATCATCAGGTAGGGCTCCAGCAGACCAGAGGCTGGAATTGGATCTCTTCTTAAAGATGTGATTCTGGAACATTGCTTCATTTGAGCCTCATTTTCTTTTTGTGTTAGGTGAGGATATTATAATAGATGATGTATAAAGAACACATGGTATGAAATACGATATGTCAAGAGCTTTGTAATGTTTTGAACAACTAACAATAAAAAAGAACACATGGTAAATATTGGCATAGAGTAGTACATAAAGCAAATAAGACATGAGGTCTTTATTGAGCTCCATGATTGATAATGAAGACCAAAACCCTGTACCCTAAAGAGAAATGTGGAAACTGCATTCAGTCAGGACACCAGCACTTCCATTTTTCGTCTTGTTTCCTGTGAAAATAAACAATGCTAAGGAAACTTATATATTCAAGAAAACTCATTATAGATGTGTCCACTTCAGGATGCCTCTCTGCAGGCCCAGAGGAGAATGTGCCCTCTATCCCCTTGGTGACCTCCTGCCCCTGGGTATCCTCTAGATTCTGAGACAGCAAAGGGCTTAGGAATTCTCATATCTGCTCCTGATTTCTACCCACTTCCCTTTGGTGCCTTATTTGATGGGCTTTACTTCCTCTCTTTTTCTGAGCTGTGCTTAGGCTAGATTTCATTTTATTTGCAATTTGACTGCCATCTGAGATTAACTTGGGATTTACTCCTCTGGTTTTCTCTCATCCACATATAATTAACCCAGTGTCATGGTGGGTTTAAAAGCTATAGAACCTGAGGTGCTGGAATCCACACTGTGTGATACAAGGTTTAATCATTCATCCTTCTTGTGCTTCAATTCCATCCTCTATAAAACTGGGACAGACGGAAATTCTTACGTTATCATCTTTTGAGAGGATTCAAAGAGAAATTATGTGGTGCACTCTAAATTAATTCCTGTTAATCATTAAGATCAGTGGGTCCCTTTACCTATTTGAAATGTGCTCGAAAAACACATTTTTTTATTGGTTGTTCAAAACATTACAATAACTTTTTTACACCTCAAGTCAAAATCTCTCTTTACACCTCAAGCCATGCCCTCTTTCAATTTCACTTCATATACTCTTCTCACACAGAATCTTTCATCAAGAAGAAAATCTTAATGAGGATTTCCTGGGAGGGAATGGGTAAGTTTATATTGTACACACCACTATAATACTCCATAGTTATTCTCCTATTTCAAATACCTCTTCATTGGCACTCACACCTCACCTGTATTCACACTTTTCTGTTCTATACTATGAGAGAAATTCAGCTGAGATACAAATCTGACACCACCACCCCACCCCGCACTGTGCACCAAAGGCCTCTAGGTGCTAAACAAAGCCATTCACACTCCAAAGGCTCATCAGTAGTCAACATCAGTTATTTGGTCACATAGAAGTAATTCTAACTAGGCCCAATACTGCTCACATTGAGGATTATGATGGATAGTATTTTTTTCATCTCATTATGTGTGTGTATGTTACGGTCTTTCCCTGGATTTTCATTTTTATTTTCCATTTAACCCACATCATCCTGCACTGTCAGGATTCTAGTTCATCTATTCTTTCCTTAAATAGATATTGAGGGTATGGGGGCTACACATCAGGTTCAGCACTGAGGGTTAAAAAGTGAACCTGTCTTCAATGCCTGACACACTGAGCTCTTTCTATGACCAGCCATTCTCAGTCCTGCTTTAGCAGAAGGTCACATTTCTCACACGGCCATAGAGCCAAGTCTTCTTTCTCCTCCTTGAAGGAATCATCTCTGTGATGGAGACATTATACTCACCTCTGTGTCTGCCTCAATTCCTACACCTGGGAGAAATCTGTCCCAGGAAAGAGTAGTTCTGGTCCCACTCTGAGGAAGTGTTCATATTATAGTACATTTCCTTGTCATTTGGGTTCAGGTCAGAGAGTTCAGGCTGTTAGACAATGACTACAGAATTCAAATCCATATTTCAGGCATCTCCAGCTCTTGATAAGTTACCTCACCTATGCAATCCCCTGGTTTCCTGTTCTTTAAAAGAGATACAGTAATCTCCTCATTGTAGGGTGATCCTGATAATCTGAGCTGTTGCTGCAAGTGCTCAAGTCTCCTTTGTGTTCCCAGGGGCACCACTGAAGTGATTAGGAGCCTGGATCCAACCATCACAGCCTGGAGCACAGAAGCCACACCAAACAATGGAAGTGATGAAAACCTTCCTCCAATTTGTGATGAGAATAATCTGATTACTACAGTGTTGATCTGCATTATTTTTCCACTTGGGCTGGCAGGAAATGCATCTGTGATCTGGTTCTTGGGTTTTCAAATGCGCAGAAATCCCTTTTACACATACATCCTAAATCTGGCTGTTGCTGACTTCCTCTTTCTCTGCTTGCATACCACTTTTTTACTTTTAGCAGTCATCAGAGTATTCCATCACTGCACCACTCTGTTTGGCATCCTAAGAACTGTGACAAAATTTTTCTACATTGCAGACATGAACATGATCGCTGCTATTAGCACTGAGCGTTGCCTATCAGTCCTCTGTCCTATTTGGTACCACTGCCATCGCCCAAGGCACACATCAGCTGTCATATGTGTCCTGCTCTGGGCCCTGTCCATGATTCTGAGCATCCTACAAGCAGTTGTTTGTGTATATTTTGATATAACTGTACGTCATCTTTGTAAAAAAGTTCAATTTACTTTAGCTGCATGGCTGGTTCTTTTATTTGTGATTCTATCAGGGTCCAGCCTGGCCCTGATAGGTAGGATGCTCTGTGGATCCCAGAAGAAGCCTCTGACCAGGCTGTATGTTACCATCATGCTCACAGTGTTGGTTTTCCTCCTCTGTGGTCTGCCCTTCGGTGTCTCTGTGTTCCTGTTATGGTGGATGGAGATTGACTCCCAGGCACTTTTTTGCCTTCAGCTGGTTTCAACTGTTTTGTCCTATGTTAACAGCTCTGCCAACCCCATCATTTACTTCTTCGTTGGCTCCTTTAGGCAGGGGTTGCAAGGGCAGAACCTGAAGCTAGTACTTGAGCGGGCTCTGCAGGACACTCCTGGGAAGAATGAAAGTGGAGGCAGCCTTTCCCAGGGAACCCTGGAGATGTCAGGCAGCAGAGTGGAGCAGGGATGAAAACCTCAGCTCTGGTCCATCAGATGTGCCTTCAAGAGCCATCGATGCCCAGCTACACTCATCAGATATCTGCTCTCCTCTCAGCCTTTTGCCTCTGAAATACTTGCATGTCATCCAATGGGTTTATGTTAACCTGTATTTTCTTCTTTCTATATGGAAACCAATCTTACATAAGAATGTCACAATTCATTTTCGATATTTTCAATAAATGTCTCATCATATCTTCATCTAAATCTTGTTATTAATGCTTTTTCTCTGACATATTCATTCCAGTGGAAAAGGATAGTTGTACAAAATTATAAACCTGTTATTTTTTGACCATTTTCTACCTGAATTTATACAAATAATCATCTCCTATCTCTCTCTGCCTATGCTGTTAGCAATTAGTCTTGTGTGGGTGTTGGGACATTGATGCAGATAGAAAGCTTGGTTATGAATGAGTGAGTTCTGGTACAGAAAATCTAGCTAGCTGAATGCTGTCAGTTTTGAAGACAGAGTCCCTACTTGCATAACAACAACTCAACAACTTCATGAAAAGTCTCTGGTAACATTTGTCCATGGCATGGTGATAAATTGGTCTTGGCTTTTAGCAGTTAAAACCATGAGTATTAGTAAGCGATTATTTAGCGGCTTACTGTACAAGTACTCAACCTAGAAACATGTTGCATAACATGAAATCGTGGCATGTGTAGGGACAGAGATCCTGAGATCACTAGATTATAGATTGTACAACACTTGGAGTCAGGACACCTGGATTCTCTAGTTGATCCCATGATTAAATTGGGAGACATGCTCACCCCAGGCACCCTCAAGAGGTATTAAGTTTATTGAATAACCAACTCTAAATCTTATGCCATTTGTGAACTGGAATCTGTGTTTCAAAATAAGATAGGAGCATATGACTCACTATGAACATGGATTAAAGGAAACAGCATTGTGAGACAGCCAGCCTGAGAAGTTGACAACATTAGACCTTTGACTTTCCAGGACTGGCTTGCTTAACTTAGCATGATGGTGTCCAGATCCATCCACTTACTGGAAAATGCCATAAAGTCATTCTTCTTTATAGCTGAGTAGTAATCCACTGAGTATATGTATTATATTTTCTTTATCCATTCATTTGTTAAGGAGCACCTGGGTTACCTCCAAAACTTGACTATTATGAATTGTGCTGCTATAAACATAGATGTTGTTGCATCACTGTAATATTCAGATTTTCACTCATTTGGATATGTACTGACAACTAAATAGTTGGGTTATATGGTTGTTTCATTACTGTTTTTTTTGAGGAATCTCCATATTGATATGCAAAAGCAATTCCAAATAATGGGGGGGGATAAAAGAAAGCTCAATGGAGTAGACAAAGGGACTGAAGGGAAAAGATGAAGAATGGGATAGGAAAAGACAGTGAAATGGATCTGACCTAACATTCCTATGTACATATGTGAATATACCACAATGAATCTCACCACTGCATACATCCACAAGACACTAAAAACTATGTTTTTTAAAAAAACCATAACCAAATAGCAGAAAGATCAGAAGAGTAGAGGGAAAGGAACAGGAGGTGAAAAGAAGGAATAGGAAGGGGAAGTAGTGGAGACTTGATTAGAACAAATTATATTCCAGGCATTCACAATTGTGTCAAAATGAATCCTGCTATCATGCATAGCTGAAAAGAACCAATAAAAAAACAGTCCATGTGTCTACTTCTGGCTATAATCACAGTGAGCACGCATTCTTCAACCTATGTGGCAGGTACTTGCACTCAGTAGATCATGTGGTATATTTTGGGAATCAATATTATTCATACAAAAAAAGCTCACTTTGTAATTTTTTTCTTTCTTCTTTAGAAAACCAGTGTATGATTTAAAAGAAATTATCTCCTTAGAGATCTCATGTACTTGGCCTAATCATCCCAGCATACAAACACAGACTTAGGGATAAGCGTGAAAGAAGATTTCACAAGTAAGTGTGTGTGTGGTTGGCCAGTAGAGAGGGAAGTCTTCTTGAAATACTCGGAATTTGAACTGATAATTCAACCGTTACCTAGCATGTGCCTTTGCCAATTTTTCAGTCACATCACTACTTGAGTTTGGCAATGAAAGATGAATAGGCCTTGGATGGATGAAAATGGGAAAAGAGGTGATTCATAGTGACAATAAAGGAAGGACACTTAAGTAGGTCACCATAAAGAAAGTGGAATAAAATGAGGTCTTCCTGGACTTATCTGTCAATAATAACTTGAATGTAAATGAATTACATTCCCAAATACGAACATGGAGAGTGATTTATAGGATTTCAAAAAGAAACAAGACCCTACTATATACTGCCTATAAGAGATTCACTTCATTCCAAATGGCACACAAAAATTTAAAGTGAAAACGTGAAGTCTGGAGATGTAGCTGTTTTAGACATTTGACCAGCATGCATAAGTCCCTAGGCTCAATACGCAGAACTACAAAAATATGGGAAAGAAGAAAAATGATATTACATACCAATGTAAACTAGAGGAAGTTAGATAGATAGATAGATAGATAGATAGATGGATGATAGATCAGATGAACTCAGCTTTAGGTCAAGCATATAAAAAGAGAAAAAAAACACATTGTGTTATAAAAAGGAGGATATAATGATTGTAAATATATATTCACCCAACATGGTAGCCCATATACATATATACAAAGCAAATATTCAAGGACCTAAAGGATCACATAGATTGCAGTATAATAATAGTGGGAGATTTCAAATATGCCACTTTCAATAATGGACACCTAATTCATAAAGAAAACTGATAAAGAAACATTGAACTTGAAAAACAATTTAGACTAAATTCAAACCTCACAGACATATAGAGAACACTTTATCCAACTGAAAGACAATACCTCTTCCCCTCAGGTGCACATGGAACATCTGCCAAGATTGATCATAAGTAGGATACAAAACAAATATTGGAAAATATAAGAATATCGATATCATAAAGTGATGACAACTAAGGTATAAAGTAAGAAGAATAGAAAAAAAGATGAAGATGAAGAAAAGAAGGAGGAGGAGAATTGGGGTGGGAGGATAGTTTGTTCACAGGATTTAAAGACAATACAAAGTCAACTCTCAAGCACATGCCATTGCCATTTCTCATTCACTCAGGTACAAACTTGTCTTTTTTCCCCAGAAAAAAATTTCTAAAATCCCCATTTTAGAAATGAATATGCTTTAATGGAATGAAGCCTGATTCTTACATGCACTGAAAAAATAAGGTGACAAATAGGCATTGCATTCCAGTCGTGAGGTGCTGTGAACCTGACTTCACTGATTTACTTGCTTTTCAAAATTATTCAAAATTGTGGATATGAAAATTCCAAAGAAGGAAACAGATAAATCAATCTGAATACTTAAGGAAGATTCTATGAAAGGACTATGTACAAAATTGGGCAGAAAGATGCATAAGTACCCTAAGCAATAGTGAAACATCATTTTCATCCTTTTAGATTTAAAATGACAAGGCAAAGAGCATGTGCCAAAGCCAGTGGCCATAACTGTAGCTGCAGCAGTAGGAGATGATGATCAGACAGAAGAGGCCCTGCCATTGCAACACTAGGCCTGTGGGAACATGCACTCTTTATTCATTACAATCAGACTGCTGTCACAGACACCAATTGTCATGATTCTTAGATAAAATACAGAGGTGTTTTCTATCTGAGCTGTAAGCTCCAAGGCCTCAGACATCAGAACTCCTTCCAAACTGCTACTTTTCAATCCAGCAAAGGTACGTTCATCCTGGTTTTCCTATAAGGTTCCAGGATGTTTCTGCCAGGAAGTCTGGGAAGAGCAGGAGAGACTATCCTCTTCTATTAATCCCATGAGCCAGGATTTGGTTATATCAACTCTTCTCACCTCCTCTGGGTCAGTACAAAACCACATCGTTTTCTCAATATCAAGGAGATATTGAGACATATGGGTTTTTCCTGATATAATCCTCTTAGAAATATTGTGTGATGAAGGAAAGAATGAAATTGAAGAAAATTGGGAGATTCTGTCTCTCAGATTCTGTGAGGATATAAAAATAATTTCAAAGCTTCCTAAGTAATGAATGGTGTAAGAGAGAATAGTGAGAAAACCCTGGAAAAAACATGAAGGGACCAGGGAGTGGTGTTGGAATGACCCTTCATGGTGGGATTTCAGGAAAATACATTGGTCTATAAGCCTCAGTTTCTTCTTGTATTAAGTGAGGATCTTATAAGAGAAGGCCATGGAGGAACATAAGGTCCAAATGTGAACAAACCAGGAATTACTCATTCAAATTCTCAGTGAATGATGCCAGGGGCTAATAGCTCATCCTTTTGAGCTGCAAATCCATCCTCTGTAAAATGGGAAAATACTAAGTTTCTGTTTCCTCCCTGGTAAGGCCTTATAGTAAATCCCACATAGAATTGTGACCCTGAGAATAGTAATCATACAGCAGGTGCAAATGTCTGGTTTGTATTCCCAGGAGTACCAGTGGAGTATTCTGAGCAAAAAACACACCAACAAGTGGAACTTTCTACGAGAAGATTCTGAACTCAGAAATGGTGATCCTCATCTGTGTTCTTCTTGATCTGACAGGCAACACAGATGTGCTGTGTCAACTCCTAAGCTTCTGCATATGCAGGAACATTACTCCATCTACATCCTTCCTTTATGGGTATGCATTCTAATCCTATCTTCCTTTAAGAACACCTGTCATCTTATAGAAGCTCCATCCTAATTGATTCTTCTTAACATTTAGCTCCAGAAGGACAGCATCTCCAAATATAGTCATTCTGAGATAATGAGGAATTAGAGCTTCCAAATATAAATATTGTAGATCTTCCAGAAGTAAATATTGAAAGGACATAATTCAACCCATAACATTATCCTTACTTAAATATTTTCTGAATTAACCCACTGAAGAAATTTTCTAAATGTTTTAATTAGCTTATTTATGAGTTAGCATTTTTTGCTACAACAGAATTCCTGACACAGACTACTCATGAAATCAAAAGGTTAAATTAAGTGAGCACTGGACCAAGATCTATGGTTATTGGTAGGAGTACATTTGGAAGTAGAATCATACCCAGCCAGGAAGAAGAGCGCTGTTTGAGGCCATCCTTGCTCTTCCAACTCTC